AGTATTGCTCATTATTCCCATAAATTAAGCCTCTTTGTTTGCTTTTAGTGTTGCTAATGCCATTTTGGTTCCAAACCAATGGCTTAATTGACTGACGTCATTTTCACGTCACTACCCTATCATTTCTGCTAATACACAAAAGGAGTTACAGCACTCTGCAAGTTGCGCTGTTTGCCGAGAACTTGGGATTCTATCTCCAGGCGAAATCTATCTACTGGTGTTTTTATAATGCATATATTTATATTTACTTGAAGGTTTTAGCGCAGTGGATTATAATACATGTTATTCACAGTTTTCAAGTTTCTACCCAAATATTTCACAAAATTTATTTATACCAAATGGAAGGCGTTTTGATTGTTATCATTAGCCCCTTAGTCCACTTCAGGCTTCACAGAGGGGAAGAAACTTCAAAGGGTAAAAATATTCGAGACGGTGGGGGGGGGGGGGGGAACAGAAGAGTTTCAAAGATGTGAGACAGTCACGAAGGTCGAGAGTAGGGTAAGGCGAGTATTGTGGAAGTGGAGGAATATGTCAAAGAGTGGGGTCATGGTAGTTTGAAGTGAGAAGTCAACTGCCGGTTAATAGACCTTTTTGCCGTATGAGTATACGTTGCCAGGGTGCACCACGTGGAGGTAAGTCTGTCGTACACCCCTATTTCCCAAAATTAATAAATGGTAAGGGAGATTTACTTGGAACCAATATCAAATGTGCATGAATTACTACTACCACATGACATTTTTTAACCATAGGAGTGGTAAGTCCAGATTACTAATGTCTAAATTTCATTTTAAAGGAAAATTTAATTTGTTTTTTTTGACAATTTTAGACTTTTCTTCGAAGACTGCTCGACTAAAGGCCTATGTCTACTTTGATGGAAAGTGGTAAGTAGAGCGAGAGAGTAGTTCAGGCACCATTCTAGAGTCGAAGCGCGGAGACGGGGGTGGGGCTGAACACGTCTAGAGACTGGGTCGTCGGATAGTCACAAATGAAGATAGGGCAGTCATATGGAGGAAAGCCTACTGCGTGGCCGGTAGAAAACTAGAGCAGATAGGAAATTCTACCTTTTA